TGCGTCCCCTGCCACGACCCTTTCCCCGCCCACGCGCACGGCGCTGCACCGTCTGCTCAGCAGCAGCAACACGGGCAGCTGCAGCCACCTCCAGGATCACTCAACATGACAGTGCAAGCATGGAAGCAGCTGATGGCCCTGCGAGCTCATGTTAGTAGCATTACCCAATGCATGATCTCTTCTCACACGTGCCTTTCGCTGCTCCTCTGCAATGTCTGTGTCAGCAGCAGCGGCCGCGTGCTGCAAAGCATCTAGCTGATCAGTAAGGCCAACTGGCAGCGCTGGCTGAACTGCTTGGATGGGTGGCCGCTTGGCCTAGCCACGGTTGACAGTGATTAAGGCTTTAGGGTTTAGGGCTTATCAGGCATTTAGGGTTATCAGGCCGGGTTTAGGATTTATCAGGGTTCAGGCTAGACCCTACATGCCCCCCAGCCAGTCCTTCTGCGCCTGTCGATTGTTGGGCAAGGGGCTCTCATATGGTGGCTCAGGCGAGCAATCCATAGCCATGATCTGCGTCTCCAGCTGGCTTGGATCAACCACCTGGAGATATAGTGCGAGCAACAAGTACGCACATGAAGCCATCATGATCGTGAAAGCACCGAACTCATACAACACATCAAGGTGCCGGGGGTCTCGGGGGCAATGGTACTGATCTCACTGGTGTCATCAACGGCTCGTTGCAATCCTGCGTGAAGTATACCGTATCGCTACTATATTATATTGTTCACACTCCGGACGCCATGCTCACACACGAACCATGTTTACGTGACAGTCCTTCTCAGGCTCCGTATCAAAACTTGATCCGTCCAAATCATCCTCGGGGGGGTTGTCCTGCACAGAAGCATGATTCCATCAGACCGATAAAGCATATATAGTCTAGCCCTGTACGCCCTGGTCCTCCAAGGCGATCGCCAAGCCGTTGTCGATGGCAGCATCCACATCAGGACAGCCTGCATTCATTCACTGGGGCTTCTACGGGCTTCAAAGACTCTAAAGGCCACTAGGATCCGGATATGCAATGCAATTGCCTGCATCGGATTCGACCATGGCTTCCCGGATAATATCTTTCAGAAGAGCCACCTTCATGCGCCTGAGATCGGTAATGTCTATTAACATCAGCAGTACATGATCATGCTTCAGGATTGCAACTGACAATTAACGTCGAGATAACGGGCCTGCTTCCTGCAGACCTCCTGGCCAGCAGGAGGGCATGTACTGCCATTGCTCTCAAAATCCCAGCTTCAGTGCCAGCCCACGCCTCACGACAACATGATCAATCTTCCAATCACAGGCACCCTATGCACAACCCTGAATATAATTCTGGCAAGACTCCTTGATAGCCTTAGCTTTCGTGTGAGGATCGAAGATGGCGTAGCGCTTCGCGAGAATGCGAAGGGTGGCCTATGGGAAAAAAAGAATGGGAGCCAAGATGATCTATTGATCTAGCCGCTATATACATGGTTTATAGGCCGGCCTAGTACTACACCCTAAGCCCTAATAAGCCCTGAACCCCTTCTAAGCCTTATAATTATAAGATATTGGCCTTGTGCACGGAGAAGGAAGGGACCGTTGCCCGAAAGGTAGCCATATACCCAGCCAGGAAATTATAGTTGCGTTCCACCTGCGGCGAATATAGAATTAGTGCGTCCCTGTTGAAGCGCAATACTGAACTGATGAGGCTTGCACCATTGCAGCTGATTCAGGACCATCACTGGGAACATCCAGTAACGACTTGTCCTTAGCTGAGTCAATTCTAATAATTAATGTCGTTGGGCTAACAAGACATACGTGTTCGAGAGGTAACATGTCAAGGAGCAGTACCCTTTCTCAGGGCCGGCAAGCGGTTCTCATCGGCCGTGAACCACGAGTTCAAATAGTCCTGCTAGATCAGAACAAAAAATATCATTCAGCAAAGTTAAAGGCTAATTATTGGCAATACTGCTGACCTGCGTAACCCCAATTTCAGCGAACCATAGCAATCCCCATATTGTCCTCCAGCAAGAACATATCTTGCGCTCGGCGGGTGGAAGCATCCATGATCCGCCCTGGGCCTCACGAACAAGTTGTTGTAAGGGATTTAGTACGTGGCTTCAGGTTTCCCATCAGAAACAATATTGGTTGTCGAGCTGCCAAGCGAGGAAGGACACCGAGGGGGGCCAGCTTAGATTAAACACTGCGAGTTCGAGTAGCATTCACAAGCGTGCCCTTGCAAACAATCATGGTCTATACTCGAAGCTCCTTGCAAAGCAGTGGAGGGAGGCACCTTCGAAATCCCCCGGGCTCGCATTTGTCCTTGGGGATCGAGATCTTTCTCGGTCCAGAAAGCCATAGCGACCTCGATGATTGATGTGCATGGGATTGGGTATTAGTTTGTTTTTTGAACGCCTCATACGAAAAACTGAGTAGCCAACGCTGGGCAATCGCGCGTCGCATGGCTTATCAATTGCATCTAATGAGGAATTAGAAGGCATAAAGTTTAAAGATCTAGCGTTTGAAGCTTATAAGACCGTACACAGTTCTGAAATCTGCGAGCTGATGTATCACAAGAGACCCATATTCCGTATTTTGCTGTATGGAAGGTCTTTTTCCGTAATGATCACGTTTTTTGCCTACACTGCCTCCGAGCACGAAAAACAAGCACATTGCAATGAAGGAAACATTTGCCCTCAGAGATCCCCAGGGATATGTTTGAGATAGGATTACTGTCGCTACTAGTCCTCGAGAAGTCTGGATTCAGGGCGGTACCCTCAACCCTAAACCCTCAACCCTAAACTGCTAAAGGGGAGGAGGTGGAACCTGCATCTTTTGCGGCTGGCAGCCTTCAGGACTTAGGGTGATTTGGGGCTTAAGGGGGTTTAGGGTTTCGGGTTAGGAACGTGCCAGACAAGTCCAGTTGTGAAAGGGTCTGTTTAGGGTTTAGAGGGCAGTCCCTCATTCTTGGAATTTGAAATCATCGGCGAGTAGGATTCGCTATTCGACCTTGTCTGTTTCTGGAGCAGAATTCAGAGTATAGGGCACAGATGAAGGGAGGGCGCTAAGATTCCACGGCTTAGCCTGAGCCCTAAGCCCGAAACAGTCACTGGACGAATCAGATCACCCCAGAAACGCTGCACCATGCACTCGGATGCGCTGACGATCCCTTACTGTAAATGAAAAGTGGTGCTTTGGTAGCCCTAACCCCCAAAAATTAGGTCCTTAATTTCTTACCATTAATTTCAAACCTTAAACCCTACATATAGAATCACATGCTAGATAGGAACAGGCTATAGCTATACGGTGCGAATGTTGGGGGGATGGGCCTTGGTATACCAAAAATCCTCTCATCATCGGAGTCTTCAGGGACCTGAAGAATCCCCCTCAACCCTACGGTTTAGGGTTCAGGGTTNNNNAGGGTTTGGGCTTCAGGGTTTAGTGTTTAGGGTTCAGGGTTTAGGGTTCAGGGTTCAGGGTTGACGGTTTGGGGTTCAGGTTTTAGGGTTTACGGTTCAGGGTTTAGGGTTCAGGGTTGAGGGTTTAGGGTTTAGGGTATAAACCCTATCCCTGCCAGACATCCGCAGGGTGCTCCCATTTCAGGGTGTCATATTTATATAGAGTCCCGGGGTTTAGGATTTTGCGTTCAGGCTAAAAATCGACAGCCCAACCCCCGGGGTGGTCTTGGAGATTTATAGGGGTTATATAGAGTTTGTATAGAGGATATGGGGATTATATAGGGAGATAAGAGGCCTATCAAAATCAGGCTTTTATTTTGAGGACTTGGATGTCAAAAGAATTCCCTCCTCCAAAGAATTATCCCAACCCAAGAGTTGGAGGCATGCATGAACTGAGGGAGGGGTTATGAATTGTTAGGTGGAAGGGACTACACCCTTTTTTGAAAGGAGCCAAAGATTAGTTTCTCGAGCACATCTCTACATGATTGTCAAGGATACCCTTACAACCTACTAATCACTTCCTGATATTCCTAAAGTCTGCTAGGCTATGCTCAAACTGAAATCCCTAAACCTTACGCGATATATGTCCTTATGGCCTCTTCGCAGTGTCCCCAAATGTACCCATTTCGAGCAAGACCCAAATGATGGCTCTCCCTCAAAATAAATGCAACCCCATGAGCCCTAAAGCTTACACATCCCCATATGTCCTCACACACCCCGTAAATCATGCGTTTACGGCCCTGAAAAGGGCTACATGTTAGTTTGGGTGTGAACGTTTCAAACCTGCAATGTGAACGCCTGTAACCCACTATACTCACAGTTCCCAGTTCCTACTCCATTGCCTGCTCCGTATACATTCTCCATCCTTGACGTAATCACCCAAGATTACCAAGCTCGTCTGTGTATATCCCGCCGTGTGTATACATACACATATGCATGTACTGACGTTTTCGTCATCAATTTATGTATCTTATCCGTATAGACCCCTCAAAAGGGAACCAGTGCAGGAGGCTCAACCCCAATACCCTAAACCCTGAACCCTAAACTCTAAGCCCGAAGCCCTAACCCTAAACCCTAGCCCCAAAGCCCAAAATCCTAAACCCTATATAACCCCATTACAGTAGTTTCCTTTTTCTTTTCCCTTATCCTTAAAGAACCTCCATATAACCCCTATGAACTATCCTATCATTCCAGTTTCCATTGCATTTTCCTGTTTCTTTTCCATTTGATTCTCCATTATCACCCCAATTCCCCTATATAACACTAATTTCTAAACCCTAGCCCCAAAACCCAACATTCTAAGCCCTGAACCCTAAACCCCCAACCCTGAAGTTTCCATTTTGTTTTCCATTATTCCTATATAACCCCATTATGTACCCTATAATCCCTATGTAAATCCCATAGAATCCCTATAATCCCAGGACTTTCCATTTTCTTATCCATTATCCCTATATAACCCTTATATCCCCTTAAACCCTTAACTCCAAACCCTAAGCCATAAACTTTAGACCCTAAACCCTAAACCCCAAACCCTAAACCCTAAACCCCTAAACCCCTTTGAGTACCTGGCAGGCGAGGACGGCACCTCCCCGCTGCACTTAGCCGCCAAGGCCGGGGAGCTGGAGGTGGTAGCCCCTTGGTGATGGTTTAGGGGTTCAGGGGTATAGAGGTTATATAGGGATAATGGAAAAGAAAATGGAACCTGCTGGGATTATAAGGATTCTATGGGGTTTACATAGAGATTATAGGGTTTAGGGGTTTAGGGTTCTTAGGGTTTAGGGTTTAGGGTTTAGAGGGGGTAGGGTTTAGGGCATCATCCATGTAAACCTGTATGTAGTCCCTGAACTCTAAACCCCACACCCTCTCTCCCTATCCTAAAACAACCCTATACAGCCATATGAATACTCTGAATAATCCCTACAGGCCCCTACAAGGACACTGAACCGCCCCTAGGGTCAGTTCAAAACTCTAAACCCTTACACCCTCAACCCTGCTAAAACCTCAACCCTAAGCCCTAAACCCCAAACCCTAAACCCTTAAACCCTACCCTAGTTTCCATTTTCTTTTCCACTATCCGTATATACCCCCTATATAGCCCCAATGTAATCCCTATATAATCCATATATAGCCCGAATATAATCCAAATATCCCTTTTAAAGGCCAACCTAGAAGACCTACACATGTACCAATATTATGGTCCTAGATTCCGGTTTGAGGCTCAGATAGCTCCACGGGTTGAGTATTTAGGGCTCAGGTTTCAGGATAAGACGTCATAATTAATCATTTGACATGTATGAGATACATGGGATGGTTTTGCCACTGAACCTGACTAAGAGATGCAACCTACATTGCAAACTTGGTGAACGCTGGGTTTCATAGGGGTTGTCAAGTGGGCAACCCTGAATAACTTCCAACAGTATGTCCTTCCAATCTTCATGAAGCACCCTAAACCCTAAATCCTAAACCCTATACCCTAAACCCTAAACTGCGAGCCCTATTCTAAATATTCAGCTCCTCGGCTCAGGGCCAAGCCCTAAACCCTAAACGGTTATTAGGGTGTAGGGTTTAGGGTTTAGGGTTGATACACATCATGCCACCGACGTTGGTTCGGTTGCAAGGGTCTTCAAGACCTGTGCTGCTGAGAAAGCAGCTTCTCCATGAAACCAGGGTTTAAGGTTTAGGTTGTAGAGTTTGCTTTTGGGGCTTAGGGCTCAGGGTTGAGGGTTAGGGATTTGGGTGCAAGTTAGGTTAGGGATTAGGATTTGAGGGCCCCAAATCCTAAACCTACAAAGCTCATAGTCCTATGCAGTTGCCAATGCAGAGCTGAAGACGTTTACTTATCGTCCGTGTGATTGCGTTTTCTACTTGAACCCCAAGAGGATGCATAATAATGGCTTTTGGGGCTTTCGGGTGATTTTGGACTGTTATTTTACCTACTTCTTTGGGGTCCAGGTAGTCCCTACAGCTCACATTCCCCCTCCCCCCACAAAAGATATTGAGGCTGACAGCTAAACCCAAACATAGCCACCAAGCTTTTAAAAGTTGTTCCTAAGGTACTCCTGCTTGACGCAGGAGCTCCACTGGAGGCCGGGGGGGACTTGGGGCGGTTAAGGCATTGAGGATTTGCCGGGCGTAAAAAAGTAGAATTCAAGGATTTCGGGTGTAGGTTTTAGCGTAGGGAGAGATGCTCATGCTCTTCGAGTCGTATTTTCGCTGGGTGTGCAGAAGCAGATGATGTGCTTGCTCTTGAGAGACCCGGACCCTAGACCCGGGTTTAGAGTTTAGGGTTTGTGTCGGGCTTGAGCTGGATGTTTGTAAACACTGGGGTATGTCTCAAGACCGAAGCTTGCATGGCATTCTCAAAACATTCCCTACTCCCTCAGAGGGGAAACCTTAAATTTATTGGGTTTGTATCGTTGTTGTTGAAAAAAAGTTTGGATTTGCGGGCCTGGTTGCTGAAGAAGAGAGAAATTCCGGATTCCTGTGAAGAGTGGTAACCACTGACCTGAAAACGATTCCATTCTTCTTTGTAGATTGTGAGCCCGAGCTGCGATAATGCCAGTTCCAGGCCGAAGCCTGCGAGCTCCCTGAATAGAAAACTCCAAAAGCTCCTTACATGTAGGCGTGTTTCTATTCTTGTTGGAAAATGTGATCCTTCGCTGAAGTCCCCGACATCCACAACTTACACATTCAACACTCCCCCCAAGCACGAACTCCTAGGCCCTAGTCCCCCACTACTTGTTTAAGCTAGAGCCTGTTCTCATCTTACCCCTTCGTTCTCTTTGTGAGATCCTCTTACACAACCCGCGCGCTCCCCTGAAAAAACCCTAAACCCTAATGGTATATATACATAAATAATGATAGTGGTGTTCTTGCCATTGCCCATTGCAGTTTCCTTGTGATTATCGAATGATTGGGGTAATGCCCCAATTCCCCAATTCCCAATCCCCAAGCCCAAGATAATCCCTATATATCCCAAGTCAATCTAAACCCTAAACGTTACACCTAACACCTAAAACCCTAACATCCTAGACCTTAAACCCTAAACCCTATCCCAGGCTGCAGATTACACTGGTGCCACGGCGCTGCATTGGGCCGCCGCCAATGGATGTGAAGAGGCGACCTAACCGGCGTCCGTGATATAGAGATTACATAGGGATAATAGAAAAGAAAGTGGAAACTACCATAATGGGGTTATATAGGGTTTAGGGTTGAGATTTAGGTCTAGGGTTTAGGTAAAGTTGGAAGTTTAGGGATATATGGGGTTAGGATTTAGGTGTGTATGTGTATGATATAACGGGGATCAAGGGGGTTTACGGGGATGCAAATACGTACTTATGTATTTGCATACATACATACTTACATACTTACTGGCATAATCACTTACATACGTTCATACATACAGACATACATACATACACTATGTGCATGTGCATTTGTGGAGTTTTGGAAAGATGCATACCAAATGGTTCGGGGTCAGGGTTATACATGGATATAATATTGCATATAAATACTACCGGTGTGTAGAAGAGAAAGCATAACATGACATTTGCGTTCCTATGATGCATGCATTATTTGTTTGAAGAGCTTTGGGCTTTCGGGCTTTCATCGTGATTGAATGTAAAGCCTAACCTTCCCCAAGCATGTATCGAAGTTGATATGGTCCCTGCTTAAACAGGGCGGTACTGTTTTCAGGGTTCATGTAGAAATCTCTTCGCCAGCTAAGCCCATAGACCTATATACATCTTCACGAGGCCATAGAATCCTCAGTTCAGGGTTCAGGGTTTAGGGCTTCAACAACCTAAACCCAAGACCCAAACCCTAAATGTTAGTTTGAGGCTCGGAGAAGCCCAAACAAGCCAAGGCCTTTTGTCGCAGGTGCCCTAAACCCTACACCCTAAAAGCCTAAGCCCTAAACCTTTAGACTTCAGAGTTTCAGGGTTGTACCCCTAGGCTTGCGCTCCTGGATTTTGAGGTTTTAGGTTTTAGGGGCTTAGGCTGTAAGGTTTAGTGATTTAGAGTTTAAGGTTTAGGGGTTTAGGCGGTTTGGCGTTTACTTTTTTTCTCAAGAATGTCGGGTTTCCTGGATTTAGGGTGTAGGGTTTACGTTGTTGCAGGGGTTTATTCAGGGGGTTTGAAGATGTTGTGGTTTCAGGGTTTAGGGGTGAGTGTTCCCCTCCTCAAAACTGGCATGGAACCGCATAAAGACCTCCTCCTCAGAGGACTACACACGGTTTAGGGTTTAGGGTTTAGGGTAATTAAGCGCTTAAGTTGGGGGCATCTATTTTGGTTTGGGGGCAAGTGCTTTGCAACGCCTGGCAGTATCTGAGACCCCTTAACCCCAAATCCTAAACCTCTGATTTAGTTAGCTCAGCTTTGCCTTCTTTTGCTGGGGTGTAGAGCTTAAGGATTTAGGATGCAAGTGCACCATAGGTAGGATTATGTCCTAGTAATATCCTATGGTCCCGTATAAGGATGCATACAGGTCCCTAAACCCTAAACCCTAAGGTATCTTTTTTGCTATTGCACCTACATTGATGAATACACAAGTGAGGGAAGGAGGCCTAAACTTGAATCCTTTTTGTTTAGGGTTTAGGGTTTAGGGTTTTAAGGTTTTAGGGGTTTAGGGTTTTAGGGTTTAGGGTTTAGGGTTCCGCTGGTGTAAATCTCCACGTTTTTATTCTCATGCTACAATCCTTGCCAAATGCCCACAGATTCCAACATGGTGTGTGGTTTAGGGGTCCAGAGCATTGAATGCGCCATCGACGGGAGTTTTTACGATCCGGCGGGGGCCTCGATCTGGATGCACAGAACCATGTGAGCTTATAAATCACCCTTAACCTGACAAATTTATTGTAGACCCTAAACCCATGGGGAACACCGAGCCCCAAACCCTAACCTTATGGGTGTGAACCCTGAACCCATGGAAACCCCAAAGTCATTCACCAAGTGCCCAGTTACTAGCGCCTAAACCCTGCGTCATCCTGCGTCTGCCTTTTGGAGACTAGGTCGAAAAATGCCCGAGTTGTAAAGAAAATGGAAACTATCATAATGGGTTATGGGGATTTTGTAGGGGTTATATAAGGATTATAAGGTATATATTGGGCTTATATAGGGATAATGGAAAAGGCTGAAGCCATTTTGTAGAACAGCACTGTAACCCCAAACCTTAAACCTTGACCCCTAAATCTTGTTTTCATAGCATCACTGCTTCGCCTGGGTCTCTCAATTAGCGACAGGTTGCCAAAGTGCTGCTCGCCCGAGGCTGGTGTTGTAGTGTAACGGCCTGCATGCAGGGATTATTTGGGGCTTAGGGATTTTGACCCACCAATTATGGGCTTCTAGAGAGATATACGGGGTTATGTACGGGACATAAAGGCCTTAGATAGGGGTTAAATTGCATAGGGTGTATATAGGAGGAATGGAAAGAACCATAGAAAGTATCATTTAGGGTTTAGGGTGTACCTTGAGATCCAGTTGACTATAANNTTAATATCAACTTTATACTAAATTCCGATAACTGTGTACCATAATTATAGTCAACTAGGATCTCCAGGTAGGTTTTGTTTTTTTTGCGGGTCTCGGCTCCTTTGTCGCCTAAGGCTCTAAGTCTGTACCCTAAGACCCAGAATAGTGGGTATATGTTAGGGGGACTCCCACCCAGTAATAGTGACTATAGGGGATAATAAGGATTATAGTAGGGTCCTCTTATATTCCTATTACACCGCTATTACAGGGTGGGGGGTCCTCCTAAGGTATATGAGGGTTCTTGAATCTACTTCTGGCCCTACAGTCTGTCAATGGCAGTTTCCTTCCATAGGTGGACCCCAATAGAGATTCCAGCATATTATAATCCTTACTATGGGACCCGCAACATGGTACCCCTGATATCGGGAAACCCCCAAATAGTGCCTACGTTGTGCTATTTGGAGCCCAAAGCTTTCAGGGGTTTAGTGTTCAGCGTCTAGGTTTGTGGGTTGTTGGTGGTGCGGTCAGCGGAAAATGCCGCATGTCTATGTGCGCTTGCCACTATCATGACAACTCGTGTGGAGCTTTAGGGTATAAGGTTTCGGCTCTAGGGTTTAGGGTTTGGCGTTTAGGGTTTCGGGTATGGGGATTGGGGTTTAAGCGATAACCCGCACAATTCTGAAACACCCAACACACCTTCATCAGGTAATGCCAGAGTCCTTGAACAAGCTCAGCCAACCGTACTCAAACCCCTAGAACCTAAAACTGTAAGAATTCGCGTCTTACCCCTATCAAGACCTTCAAAACAGGTCTGAACCCCACCTCTTCAGCTCCACATCTCCATACACTATATAAGCCCAATGCCCTACATACCCCAATTCCGCAAACCTAAATCGCCTAACTCTGAATGCCCAAAGCCCCAACCCCAAAACCCGGAACCTTTCCTTTTCAAACCCCCTAAACCCTAAATCCTAAACCCTAAATCCTAGACCCCAAATCCTAAACCCTACACCCTGAAGGGTTTAGACTTCCTTTTTGACAAAGACTGCCCAGACGCCTGGCAGGCGCCGACACATCCGCCTCCGACCACTCTGGGGCCAAGCCGCTCCTAGGTTACTGAGAACTTGGGGGTTTAGGATTTAGGGTTTAGGGTTTAGGGTCAGGGGGCTTAGTAAGTAGGTTAATAATGGGGATAATCAGGCTTACTATTTGGGTTAGGGAGGTTACCAACCTACTTACTAAGTTCCCCTGACCGTGGGATACTAGGAGTTTAGCTAAACCGCGTAGACTACGGCTCATATTATGGGGATTTAGGGGTTACTTAGGCATATGACATAGGATTTAAGGCTTAAAGTAAAGCTGATTCGTGGTTACTGGCATCTTGTCCAGGCAAGCGTTTCGAAGGGTTTAGGGGTGTAGAGGTTTAGGGTTTTAGGGTTTAGGTTTCAGGGTTGAGGGTTTAGGCATTCAGGGTTTTGGGATTGAGGATGTCCTGAGATAGATAGTTTCGCACGCTGTAAAGCGGGGTTTGGATTTAGGGTTTAGGGTTCAAGGTTTAGGGTTCCTGCTCACAAACTAGTAGTCATCGTACGGTGTACATACTAGCACGGATTCCTTAAAATCACTCCTGGTTTCTTGCTAACTACGGAGAAAGCACTTGTCTAGTCGTTTCGGCCTCCGGAATACCAACAAGCACAAACCCTGAACCCTAAACCCCTAAAACCCTAAACCTTACCCATTATAGTAGCTTCCATTTTCTTTTCCATTATCCCTGTATACCCCCTATAACCCCCATATAACCCCTATGTGGGTTTCACGTTTTGGTAAACCTCCCACCTGGATGGGGCTGGCTCAGGCTTCATGATGCGGCGTGGGGTGGCCACAGCCGCTTGGTTTATAGATTGCGGGGTTTGTATAAGGACTAGGTTGGGTACTGTAATATTGGGGTTATATAGGG